TGGAACAGTTCCAAGAGGTTCTGTGACAGCACAGAGGGCTTCCAGCTGACCTGATAGACAACCCTGTTGGAGCTCCAGATAGATGATATCTGGAGATGACCCGGGCGGTTGACACAATCACCCCAAATGCCCTCTCCACTCCAGAGTTCAGGCTGTCCCTTAGTATACTGAGGGGTGGTGAGCTATGAAGTTACCAAAGAGATGGCTAGAGAGCAGGTGGAGAAGAGATCAGTTGGCACAAAATAGGACTGCAATTAAGATTATGGCCAATAAATATACTAATGCCCTTAAATGGGAAAGAAAGACCTTTAACATCTGGAGGATTGGTGAGGCTGTGAATTGACAAGTGGAATTGTTCTGGCTGGTCTGCAACCTTACCAGTTCTGGCCACTCAAGGCCTTGTTTAGTGAATAGGTTGCAGCTTTTTTAAGAGCAAAAATCAAGGCCATACATGCTGACTTTGACTCTACCAGCAGCCTAGCTGATCCAGGGGTGACCATGGCTGCCCCATCTCCCATTGCCCAGCTGGTTCAGTTTGACCCTGTAGTAAAGGAGGGAGCCTCCAGGGTGATGGCTAGCTGTAGGCCCACTGCATCATTGCTGGATCCTTACCCAGCATGGCTGATCAGAGCCACAAAGCGGGCTATGATTGATTGTGAATATTATTAATTCATCATGAGGGAGGGAATGCTTCCCTCCCATTTTAAAAAAACCATTGACCAACCCATCATCAAATATCCCCAGTTAGTGTTGGACAACCTTAACAATTTCTCTCTGATCACTAAATATACCACTTCTGGGCAAGGTGATCGAGAGAGTGGTGGCTAATCAGCTGAAGTTATACTTGGAGGAGCAGGATTGCCTTGAGTCTGGACTCAGGCCACAATGGGGTATTGAGATAACACTGGTCATGCTGCAGGATGACCTTTTAAAGGAGGCTGAAAGGGGCAAATGCACCCTGTTGGTACTCCTAGATCTCTCAGCAGCTTTTGATATCATGGTATCAGCTCTCTGAGGTTGGAACTGGGGACTTAGCATTGAGCTAGCTCTGATCCTTCCTCAAGGACCATCTCTGGAGAGTTCAGCTAAAGGAGTGACAATGTGTTTACATTTGGGTCTGATTTTTTTTTCATTTTTAACATTGCCACCTCATTATAATGTTTATTTCTTTGCTTCATGTGAAGAAATGAGATGTATGATCCCTCAAGGTGAGCCTTTTCAATGTCAGTTTCATCTTGTATTTAAGAAAAGACAGTATTAAGGCTTCTTTTGGGTTTTTTTTTCTGAAAAGGGTAGGGATGGCTCACAGATACATCATCATAATTTGATAAAAGCACCATCAGTCATGTATGGTTTATGAAAAGCGCAAGGCTTTGCAGCTCAGTCAGTTCAGACTTTCACTTGCCAGTCATAAAGTGACCAAAATAAAAATAAAAATCTAGGTACATGCAAATGAACCAAAGATGACTTTCTGTCAGAAAACTACAGTGGTTTATTTTCCTGAATGTGCATGTATTTGGAAGATGATACATATAATGATTCTTGGCTGACATTTTAACAGGACCATTATATTTTACACACTTTCTTTGGAGCTAATATTAGTCTTCAAAGGTGACATGTCCCCTTTTATTGGACTGGTTAAGTTCAGCTCATTAAAACATAAGAAGGGCCTTTTTTGATCAGACCAAAGGCCTATAAAGTACTGCTTCTCATCTAGCAAAGTGGCTGGCAACGTGAATGTGAATGGGACCCTATAAGCAAGCAGGACAAGAGAGCAAAAGCCTTCTCCCATTCATGTTTCCTCACAGTATGTATTCAAGGCATACTGCTTGCTCACCAGTTCAATTTATGCCACTGCACATAATGCTGGTACAAATAACTCGTAAGATACTGGCCACAGATAGTTTTAACCTCCATGAATTTGTCTAATCATCCTCTAAGCTTATTTTCCTAGATCCCATGGTTTTGGACAATCTCAAGTTCTTTTATTAAGAAAGAAAGAGGAAAAACTTCTCCATACCAATTTTCTCCACACTTTATCAACTTTTCCTTTAATATAACTTTTTTCAGGCTTTCCTAGTAGGGGAGTTGCTTCAGCCCCTGATCACTTTTGTTTTTTTTTTCTGCCTCCCTTTCTGCTTTCCATCATCCTTTTTGAGAGGAGGTGTCAGACTTCTACACCAAATTCTAACTGCCGTCACACCACAGTTTTGTTCAGAAGTACTGGCAGTTTTATATTCAGTCCTTTTCTGAATACCCCTTTGCATAGCATTCAGATCTGTCAGTTCTGACATATGGTGAGTTGAAGTTTTTACTGAGCTTTCCACCTCAAAGCCAAGGTCTTTCCTTGATCACTCACTGCTAGCTCAGACTCCATTAGTGTGGATATGAAAACATGATAATTGCCTCAACATGTAACAGAAGACTCTTATTGGCACACTGGCTGCCACCCTTCCACTGTCTATGGGGCCAAACCTCATCATCACCCAGGATGAGAGAGCAGTTAAGTGAGCAGACAGTGGTGGCTGCCCCAGCTCCTCTTTGAGCTTCTCATGATGTGTCTGTTCAACTAAGAGAGTGAGGAAATAGCAATAGTGGTGAGCAAGAGCATTTTTTTGGGACATCAGGGCCTCAGTAATTAGCAGGAAACCATATATGCACAAACCCATGGGCAGGTAGCATTGTGTTAGTATTGTACTAAAGGGCTGGTTCCATTTGAGGAAGTTATACAGCTTAGAAACAATGCATTGAAAATGATGTGTTACATTTGGGGTTTCCATGGGCATGACAATTTGTCACACAACAAAGCTAGCAGTGACACTGTTTACTTGAACATAATCAGTAACATAAACATCAATTCAATAATTTCATGAAACATTCGGAGATGAAATTTGCATGTTTCTTTTCCCTTTAAAATTCCTGATAAAACAATATAAATCTACCAAGCACTCTCCCTCACCTCTCCCCTGGATATTAGCATTCGGTTTGTCATTTATTTGATGAGTACTAGGTGTTCTCGAAGGCTTTCACAGCTGGGATACGATAGTTGTGGGTTTTCCAGGCTGTTTGGCTGTGTTCTTAAGGTTTTTCTTCCTAACATTTCACCAGTCTATGTGGCCGGCATCTTCAGAGGATAGGAGTTGGAACTCTCTCTATGCTTCACAATCAAGTCAGTCCCAGCATATGGCAACTCTTTCCAGGGTTTTCAAGATATTAAGTACTCAGAAGTGGTTTACCATTCCTTCATCCCAGCATATGGCAACTCTTTCCAGGATTTTCAAGATATTAAGTACTCAGGTTTACCATTCCTTCTTTCTGGGGGTACCCTGGTACTGTGCAACTTGCTCACGGCTAAGGGTGGCTCTTTCTTGTGGAGCCACAGTGGGGAACTGAACTCCCAAACTCTGGCTCTACACCCAGACCCTCAACTCAATATGCTATCCAGCCAGTTGTCTTTGACATCACTAATAAGGAACAATACCATTCACAGGCCAATGTGCTATCCAGCCAGTTGTGTGTTACATCTAGCAGATAATGTCTTTGACGTCACTAATAAGGAACAATACCATTCACAGGCCTCTGCCATTGTATATCTTCTTCCAAAAATATCTATATGATGGTATGTTATCTTTTTTAGAAGAGTGGAGGAGAATATTTGGTCTTCAGACAATGTTGGACTATGGCTCCCAACAGCTCTAACCCACATATCCAATGGCAAACAATGCTGGGAGTTCTATTCCAGTAATATCTAGAGGGATGCACATTCCCTTCTTCTGTTTTACAAGACAGATAGTCCCCCTTTGGGTCATGTGTACAAGGGGTGAGATCACTCATATAACTTTTTAAAAATATGGATAAATCTGAGCAAGATTACTTAGACTCTCTATTTCACCAACAGTCTATCACTAGAGGTTAACAACTATGAGACCCTACAAATGTTTTTGGCCTACAACTTCCATCAGTCCTAGCCTGTGAGGGAAGATGGAAATTGTAATCCAAAAATATTTGGAGGACTACAGTAGCCTACCCTTGACTTAAAAGAACTTTTAATTTATATCCAGAAATTTTTTTTATCAGAAAACATTTTACCCTCCTTACTAAAAAGGGCTCTCAGAGTAATTCACAACTATCAGTAATCAGACAGTCTATGTCATTAGGATTACATTTTGAAGGCACAAAAAGAAAGGAAAAAGGATCGCCAGGCGAAAAACAAACCCAGGCAATAGTTTTCAATTGAACTGTTCTAATAAAAAGCAACTACGTAGGAGCAAAACAAAACAAAACAAACAAACAAACAAAAACCTTTTAAGGAATGGGAGAGCCAAAAGCTGCTGGTTTTTCAGCTCAGCCAATGAAATGGTCCAACTTTTAATCTTGTGGTTTAATATAGAGTGTGATGAAAGGTGGGCCTTGGAGACTGTATGCTTCCTAACATCAAGCTTACCTCTCATTCAGTTATTAAAAGTGGTGAATAACTATTAGCCTACAGCGTGTTCATCCCAATTCCCGACCACCATGTCAGGTGCAATGTAGCACAATTTATGAGAAGAACCTATCACAAACTTCTCCCAAGAAATCTGGAGTCAGCAACCTCTACTGATACAGCATTTGTGCCAAGATGGCGATCGCTGAGCAAGACTTGCATTTACCTGACATTTGAAAGCACTTTAAGCAAATTCTTTAATGGGCCAAATTCTGCTGGTTGAACATATATCATTTTGTCTCATAATTTGAAGTGCGGGGAGGAGGCAAACCAATAGGTCCAAAATCCAGTTATTTCCCACCCCCATAGAGACACAGCAGCACAACCACAGAAGTTGCAGTAACTAAGGTGCAGAACTAACTGAGGCGTCAGTTGTATGGCTGCTTGAGTGCTTGCAACCAGTCAGGCAGCTGGCACCTCACTAATTAGTCATTAACAGCTGTCACAATGTTTGTGACTGTGTTGTTGCATGCAGGGGGAGAAAGATTTTGGCCTTTTAAAGTTTAGTTATACTCACAGTTCTTCTAGAAAGCGTAGATGCTGGAAATCACCAGGCATGAGCTCACTGATGTTGTTCATGCTCAAATCCCTGAGAGGCAAAAGGTAAAAGAAACAGAAAACAGACCTCGGATTAGATGCAATACAATTTCAAACATACAGACTTCACAAGGATGTTAAAGTGAGTATAAGCATGCAGCCTATCCTGCAAAAAAGATTTGCAGTCTGGTCTTTGCCTGCATAAGCATGCAGTGAAGAATGCAGGGAACATTGAAAGTGACCTATCCAACCTTGCATATTCAACTATGAGGGAATTATGAGCTTTCCTGTATAAAGAGCAGGGTAGGGTGTCCCTGCTGTTAAGGAGAGTGAAGCAGCTACTTTGCCAGCAGGTTTAGCATGTGCTGAAAGGACATCCAATTGTTAGACATTCAATGGATTTTTAATGTCAGGAAGGGAGAGAAGTCAAGCACTGGGTGTACTATGTACTTCAACTTTATTGTTTCAACTTATACACTATCCCATAATACTAGAGTACTCTCTGGGCAGTTTACAACATAATTATGCAAATAATACTTTGTGCCACCCCCCTGAACTGGGCACTCGTTTTACCGATCTTGGAAGGATGGAAGGCTGAGTTAACCTTGAGCTGGCTACCTGAACCATTTATGTATATTAGTTTGTAAATTAATTTAAAAAACAACACGTGTACAGAAATTCCAAAAAGGAGCTATTTTCAGATTCTCCAGGACCTAATGAAAATACCATGTATGTATATTAGTTTGTAAATTAATTTTAAACAACAACAACACGTGTACAGAAATTCCCAAAAGGAGCTGTTTTCAGATTCTCCAGGACCTAATGAAAATCACGGGCAATTAACTTACAAAATATTCAGTTAGCAGTGAAAAAAGGAAACAAACAAACAAACAAATAAATAGAATTATTTCTCTTTGTTATGCTATGCAGTAAAGTCACCACAACCTCTCCAAATAGTTTCATTGTTTATTATAAAGATGTTTCCTGTACAATATTAGATGGTATTTCCCCCATATGCATAGCCCCTTATGGACGAACAGCAGCAGAAGAGGAAAAGACAGTACTTTCCATACAGGATTACTTATGCGGTTAGTTTGCTGGCTGTTCCGTGGAACCTTTTTCCAGAACAGCCTCCCTTGGGGTTTCTCATTATTTGTTGCTGCACCAGAACTATAACAAAACAATAGTTTTGGTGGAAGAGAGATTAAGAAAGGTAAACTGCATTGCTCCTAATGCTAATGCTTGCGAAGTGTCATAGCACTAAACTCCACCCTCAGTACAGAGCAGTACAAAATAAAAACCCGGGGTTTGGGGACGTATAGGAACCCTGTATCTAGCCCAAGAAGAAGAACATCATCCAGGTATTGAGGGAATTTCTGTTGGGGACAGTACTCAACAAAGGAATTTAAAAAGGTACAAGTGTTCTTTCTGGAAGAGCCTTCAAAGGTCAGTTCCTTTAAGCTGTTCTATCTAGGCATTAGCAGTGTAAACCAAGTTTCTGTCTACCAAAAGAATTCCAAACTCATACACCTTGGAAAATTAAGATAAAATTCCTAGAAACTGAATCACATGTTACTCAGAGTCAAGCTTAATAATTCATCTGTCCCTCAGGGGGATACTTAATTCAAATACTTTGATGTCCCTTGTCTATCATAAACAAGCCTTTTCTACCTTTGCTTTTAGTTATAATTCTCTCTCTCTTTTTTTTGCCCAAAAGGCAAAAAGAAATACATTCTCCCCCACTCCCTGATCAGTTCACACAGTCCACTGAGAGTTTTCTGCCTCAGTGATATGTTTCTTAAATTTAAGGACACCAAAAGCCTCAGGGTAGCTTGCTTTTGATGATCATTTGGTGTATGAGAGGCCATATTTTGTAGACTTCATACCAGGCTTCCCACATACATACATACTGTAAAATACTAAGTACATCATCACACATAGCATTTTTTAAAAAGTGCCTTTAAGCCTACCCAAATGTATTTATTAATTATCTGAATATTACTAATATTGCAGAAAACAAAACAAAAAATCTAGCTAATGTCCATTCCAGCTAATTCATTGCTATCACAGACCTTTCAAAGTTTTATATCTTTGAAAAATAAAAATGTAAATATAAACTCCATTAGTGACTGCCGGGTAGGTGGGGCTTGTCAGCCATGGAAGGCAGCCCATCTAGGAGAAGGAAAACTCCAATTTCAAACCTCCACTGCCTTGTGGCTATATCCTCTCATGGAAAAGGCTTCAGGAGTTAACCTCGAGGCAAAATCCGGAGCTGGAGTCCCGAAGGCAGCATGTGTCGTTCTGCCAACTCCTGCGACATTGCTGGAACCAGTTGTATTGGCTCTTGCCTCTCCATTGGACCATTTCAGCAATGTGGAGAGGGGGGATCTGCTGCTTGGGTAACAGCCTATCCTCCATATTACCTTACCCGGGCTTCATGCTCTGGAGAGGACACTCCTCGATACAGAGCATGTTACCATAATCTCTTGAGACTGAAGGATGCCTATGCTAGTGACAGAGTAAACAAGAAGATTCTTTTTGTCCTTCATCACAGTGTGGGGAGAGAACTGGAATGAAACATCTTGGGCTCTAACAATTGTCTGGATACCTCTCCATGAAAACCCCTAAACTGAAAGAAAAACTGAGAGATGAATTCGGAGTCTTTCTATCAATACTTTAGTCCAATATTTCTCCTCTGATAAAAACTGAGGAAAGTACTAGGGACAGAAATATAGATTTCAGAAAACCAATAGATGACACAGAAAATAGCCCAGTGTACGTAGGTATTTTGTGAAAAGTGGCAAATGCCCCCTAAAGTTTCAGGCACGACTCTACTCAGACCATGAGTTATTCATGTCATCACTTCATAGCAGGCCTTCTGGAAGCTGGGAAGCATGTTTCATTCTTCTTCTCTTCAGCAAAAGTTAATTTCAAGCTGTGCTCATATCAGGGTGGAGGAAGGGTGACAGGTTTGTGCCAGTGCATTTAACAACTGTTTTTTTAAAGGATAAAATGGAAACTGTGGCTTGGCTAACATTGATGTTGCTCAGGCCTATGGCACGGTATTTGTGGGTTTCATTAAAAGCTCCAGCGCACACTCTCTATTGTTTGACAGGGTTTCCAGTTTCTTGTTTTTCTCTGGTGCATAAATTCAAATGACTTCAAGGGGTTTTTGCTGCTAACAAAACGAAGGCTTGTCATACTTTGGGCCCATTATAAGAAGGCAAGACTCACTGGTAAAGACAGCAATGCTGGGAAACATTGATGACAGAGAGATAAAAAGGAGACCAAATGGATGGATGGGTCCCATAAAGGACGCCACAGTCTTGAGTTTGCAACAGCTGAGCAGGCCTGCTGAGGACAGGACATTTTGGAAGTAGCTCATTCATAAGGTCACTATATGTCAAAGATGGCTTGACGCATGTAACACGGAGAATAACTACTGCTATTTCTTCTATAGCATATCTCATGTGAAAAAAAATACTAAACTCCTCTAATCTCCATCTCTTTTCATCTGTCTTTCAGCATACTACAGGTCATAACCTCTATCAGGAAGCTCACAAGTGAATCGTCCAGCTTCTGGATGGCCAACCATATTTTATTGTTGTGAGCAGAATCTTGGCAGCAGTACTGCAACTTAACCACTATGCCACAAGGCTGTGCAGGTGTTATTTAGCCTCAGGGCTAAGACTGATATACAATATATAGCTGTGATATGACTGATATATAATATATAGCTGAACCTCAATTTCTTTCTTTCTCCAGAGTAAATTCATAAGTGCCCAACCCAAGCCGGGACAATTGTAGGAGGATCTTTTCTCTTCTTAATTTTGACTCTCTCATGCTTCTAGTTTAAAAGTACGGGGGTGGGTGGGGGACTGCATTGACACCTAAGGAAGTTTTATTCTTTTGAAACACCTACACAGAAAAGGAAAAATTAGAAGGAAGAAGGAAGGTTTAAGCCTCCCTCATCCACCCTTGGTGGTACAAGTCTAGACTGGGCCCCACCTGAATACTTGTCAGTGAAAAAGAAAACAAGGCTCAACTGTGCTCTGTGTGTTAATGGTTGCACCTAGGTTAGCTCTCATCTTTACAGGTGAGACCAGTGCTGTCAGTTATATTTCTATATCACCTTTAGTGCCTGAAGTTTCAAGAATCTGCAGGAGTAACTTTGTTCAGGCTGACTTTAGTCCAATATTCAGGACTGAACAGACATATGTGGATTTGAGGGAGATACTCTCTCCCTGCAAGTGAATAATGAGGAAGATTAGGAAGATGCTCTCTGTAGCAAATGAACATTTTGACTGAGAAGAATGGAAGGAATACACTTGAGAATGGAAGGAGTACACCTGGGCAAGTGTGGATTATACAATACTTTCCTGCATGTTCATGAAACCTTTAATCCCTAGAGCCTGCTTCGCAGTGCAGAAGAAACACCCATGAATCCCACAGCCAGGATACCATCAAATACTCTCCAGTTCCTCCTGCTTTGTCTCCCCACCCTTACTCACATTTTGTGGCCATCTCAATTCCACAAGTGCAGATGCCTTCTCTGCTCTGGCACATATTGAGTTGCAACCGAAGCAGATTCAGCATTGCAAGCAGGCCTATTTGAGCACCTCCCAAGCCTCATATTTCATTAATCGAGTCTTCTCCCTTTAACTGAGCAATTGTATAGACTGAGAACAATTAAATGGGCAGTGCAGATGCCAATGAGTTCATAGCTCACTCGGTAGAGAAGTCCACTGACAACATCTTGGGCAAGGCTCCTCCAGCTCCTGGACCCAGCATTGAATGAGGACACCTTTAGGCTCTATCCTTGTCATGACTCCCATTGCCTTCCTTTCTCTCTGGAGCTGCTCTACACAAATCAGTAAATGTTCTGATCTTAAAATAAAAATATACAATCAAAACACATTCTTCACGCGCCTGGACAAAAGTAAATAAGGAAAAAAATTAACCTGTGTTGTGCTAAGTAGAAAGATGGTAGGCTTGGTGACGTTAGAAAAGCAAGATTCACAAGATTCTAATGAAAACCTGTTTTTCTCATGG